ATAGACAGAAACATTCGCATTCCGTTGCTAATTTCCTAAAAAAATATTCAAATATTCAATTTATAAATGCAAAAGTTTAGATGAATGGAGGTTAGTTTGTCCTCAACTGTTGAATCTCGATGAAATTTGGCATAGACATGAAGCAGAAGTTCCCAATCTTGTTCCCGAGGAACAATTTGTATGTGCTTGCAGCTATTGGACACAGACTGATTTTTTCTTAAACAGTAATAAAAATGTGAATTATTTTTATTTATCAATTACTAGCTTTCGCCCGCGACATTGTCCGCGTGGAATTGAAAAAACAAAAGTGAATAGCCTATATGTTCTTCCAGACTATCCTCTAGATCTATGCCAAATTTAATCGAAATCCATCCATCCATGTAAACTTTCACGTTTAGAATATTAGTAAGAAATAAGACCAGGCACTGGCCAATAATATGCGTTGCCAAAAATCACATTGATATATTGATGTTACATTTTTTTTAATGTTTTCTTTGAATTTCTGTTTTGTTTACGTTTTCTAAAACATCACTCTGGGTAAAATAATAAATTATGAATATAATATGAATGATGGGAGAATAAGAAGTTATAGATGGAATTGGATTACAAATTGGTCCACTCCACCGATATTTAAGAATGTGCCTCAAGATTACAAAAAGATTGGGAACCCCTATATAGAGGATAGTCTGGAAGAACACAGGATACATGCTTTTTTTAATTTTTTTTTTATTAAAAACAAAGAAATACTTCAGGATATATAAATGTATGTTGTACGTACTCAGCGATGGCCCAGGCGATGCCGCAGCCCTCGTAAGTGGAGGTGCCGCGCCCCAGCTCGTCTATCAGCACCAGGCTGTCTCGCGTCGCCGCCTTAAACATCAAATATATAATAAATAAGAGACATATTTACTATAAACATTATTATTTAAATTCATAGACTACTTAGATACTTTTTAAAATTCTAGCTGTGAAAGTCGCAGGCGACCTCTAGTAGGCGATCAATAAGACATTGAGCGGTACGTAGGCAAATATCACATTTTTATTACAAACTTAGAATATGTTTAATAAGCTACAATTTGGTATGCCTAGTTAATAAAAATATTGAATTAAAACACAATTGCTTCTATACCCCTCGTGTAGCATTTATTGCTCACCAGCGGTCGCCTTCACGTGTTTTTTAAATATAAAAAAAATGATAATCTGGAAGAATACATAGGCTACTTAGTTCTGTTTTTTTAATCACATGCGGACAGAGTCGCGGGCGAAAGCTAGTATGTATATAAACCGCCATTTTGGGCGATATTGACTTATATATTATACTAGCTTTCGCTCGCGACTCCGTCCGCGCGAAATTAAAAAAAAAACAAATGTGAGTAGCCTATGTGTTCTTCAAGAGTATCCTCTACATCTATGCCAAATTTCATCGAAATCCGTTCAGCCGTTTAGGCTACAAACTCTAACAAACATCCATCTATCTATCCATCCATCCATCCATCTAAACTTTCGCATTTATAACATTAGTAAGAAGTAAGATAAGATGTATGTCAATATCGCATAAAATGGCGGTTGAAACCTATCACCCTGTATACGTGTAGGAGGTGTCGTACTGTGAGTATAGCTGCGGTGTCGATCATCTCCAGCATGAAGGTGCTGAGCGCGCGCAGCTCGCAGTCTGCGGCGGCGAGGCGCGCGCGCAGCGAGCGCAGGCGCGGCAGGCGCGCGGCGGCGGCGGGCACGGGGCAGCCCGCGTGCGCCAGCAGCGCCGCCGCGCCGCACGACCGCATCCACGTCGACTTGCCGCCCATGTTGGCGCCCGTCACTATCTGCATCACCGATTTACCTGAAAACGAACGGGTTAAAGGTTATTTAACCGCCATTTTAGACGAAATTGACTTATATATCTTTCGCTCTCGACTCCGTTTGCGGGGGATTAAAAAAAACAAAAGTAAGTAGTCTGAGAAATTTCATCGTTCAGCCGTTTAGGCTACAAACTCTAACAAACATATATACATCCATTTTTTTATCATGTATAAACCAGCCTTGACCACGATCCCACCTAGAATCCCACATCTATCAACCTAAACTTTCGCATTTATAATATTAGTAATATATGTCCAAGTCAAATAAAAATGGGACCCACCTGCAAGCACTACCTTTCGAATTAAAAAAAATTGGTATACCAAGGGCGGAGTTATCCCATATCACACATAAACATAACCATGTTACTCACTAATTTTAATGTTGCTTTTGCATATTTTTTTTAAAATTAGCCTGTTAGTTTTTAAGTTTTTCAATACATACAAAAATACTAAAATTCAAATATTTGTTTTTAATATTGGTTTAAATGAATCTGTGTTCTTACATAATATGTTCTGGAGATACCTTCTAATAAACAACTAACCATTTATCTAAAACTAGCTGTTCCCGTGCGGCTTCATCCGCCTTCATACCATTAACTTTTATGGCAATCTTGCTTCCTTGATGTTGGCAGCAGCTCATGGTCTCTTTTCCACATCAAATTTATTTACCCCCTAAGTTTAATAGCGTGAAAAAATATAGCCTAAAGCGTGACGTTAGTGTAGGGTTTTCTATCAAAGAAAAAAATATTCAAAAATATGCTGTGATTGCTGACATCTTATGCCACAAAGTAGTGTGTGTTTACGCTTTATTATATTAGTATAGATTTGGCCTTTTATATCATTTGTATTGATTAATACCGAACAGCAACGTCGCCACTAGTTGACCAAGAGAGGCGAAAAGCTAGTTTATCATGTGAAAGTGACAATCGTTATTGCGCTATCTAGGAGTACATAAATATTGCATTTAAATATATATTAATATTATAAAGATGAAAGATTTGTATTTTTTTATTTTTATATGTTATAAAATAACAAACTATTGGACCGATTTCAAATATTCTTACATCATTTAAAAGCGATGTTATCACTGAGTGACATGGGCTACATTTTTACTATTTTTAATTCTACAGGTCTTGGGTTCGAATCCCGCTGTACCAATGTGAATTTCGATTTTTCGAATTTTCATATGTACATAATTTACCCGACGTTCTAAGGGTGAAGGAAAACATCGTGATGCAACCTGCACATATCGGCGAAGGAATTCAAAGATATGTGGGAAGTCAACCCGCAGTGTGCCAGCGTGGTTGACTATGGCCTAGTCACCCTTTACTTTAGGGTAGGCTCCGAGCCCCTCGGTGGGGACATATAGTGAGCTGGTGATGATGATTCCCAAAATCTTACATACAAATGACAAACCTCGTTTCAGGTGCACATCATTGGGTATATACGAGATGCCCTCCTGCAGTTCGAGACAGGGATGTCGAAGGTCTCTCATCATCAGCTCGTCAGCAGTCTCGGTGAGGTCCGGGCGGCAGTAGGGCAGCGGCGCGGAGCAGGATGCCACCGCGAATGACACCAATACGTCCACACGTGACACCATGTGGGAGAGATTGAACAAGCATTCGGAATATCCGGCTGGAAATTATTTATATCAATTTGTTTAATATATATAAAACATCCAATTTTTATTCTCTGTGCAAAATTATTATTTTTGTATCATGGCAACACTTTTTTGTTAACTCTCTTCCTTTTTCCGACAGTTTTAGTCTAACTAAAAATGTGATTATATCTAATTTCATTATTGGAAATATATATCTAAAATATAAATCTTTGTCATTTAATGAACACCATTTTAGACCATACAGTTAATAGAAGCTGTAATTACTATTTTACACCATTTTTTTCTAAAACTGCGTTTATGTCTGTAGAATAAAACAAAAAGATTTTCCGCCTTTCATTTTTCGGGTAAAAAGATTTGAATTAGTCGAGGACAATTTTAATATCAAAGCAAGAACAGTGAAAACAGTGTTTTGAACTAACTTGCGATATTAACAATTTCCGCGACAACTTTGTCTTGCTCCTTTTCGTAGGTCTGCTTGGTGTCGAGGTAGTCCTGGCTGAGGGCCTGCAGCGCGGCGCTGGTGAAGCGCACGCCGCCCTTCACCGCGTCTATTATACTGAACTTCTTACTGCCTCGGATCGCGTGCTCTTCTTTATTTGTTATCCTGATAATCATATTAATATTATAAACTAGCTGCTGCCCGCGAAACCGTCTGCGTGAATTAAAACGAAAACAAAAGTAGCCTATGTTTTCTTCCGTACTATCCTCTGCAAATATGCCAATTTACATCAAAATCCGTTCAGCCTTTTAGGCGCCAAACGCTAATAAACAAACATCCTTCTAAACTTTCGCATTTATAATATTAGTAAAATGCCAAATTTTTGATGGATGGATGGATGTTTGATGAATGCAAGTCACTGCCTGGCAATGTTATTTACTGTCTTTGGATATACTTTGGAAAAATGTTATCGTTCACATTGACGATTCAAACTTGTCCGTTTTTAATAAGTTTGTGATTGCAGTGGAATAAAGATTTTTATTAAAATAATTTCATGATTTAATAATATTAATTGTATTATAAGCGTTACGCACTTCAAATTGTTTATTTAGATTTATCATACTAATACAATAAATGCGAAATTTTAGATGGATGGATGTTTGTTAGAGTTTGTAGCCTAAACGGCTGAATGGATTTCGACGAAATTTGGTATAGATGTAGAGGATCGTCTGGAAGAACACATAGTTTTGTTTTTTCAATCACACATGAACGGAATCGCAGTCGAAAGCTAGTATATTTATAGTTTCTTAATAATTGATTTCGACTACACTCGCCAAGTTATTTTGTATACCTGAAGTAGAATCCATTCTGCGGGTTATTCTCCAGCTTGATGGTCTTCCCAGGGTCCAGCGCGAGGGTGTCGGCCGCAGCCCTCAGCTGCTTCTCCGCCGCCGCCTGCAGCCCGTCCAGCTCCGAGCGGAGACTTTGTAACTGTTCGTCGAATGATGCTTTTACTAAATACTCACCTGGAATTAGAAGTTATTTTATTGCTTTAAGTCAAGCAAGCAACAGTGCTGTATTATAGAAATGAACAGATTGCATTCCAGTGTGTTTATATTAGTAAACCCTTGATATATAAATCGCTGGACTGGAATTAATAATGTCAATTTGGCTACATACTTATTGAAGCACTAAAAATAGTTAAACTAAAAATATTAATAGATTTTAATTAAGCAGTGTAAATTGACTAAAAAATGGAATTGTTTGTAAAAGATTTACCGCAATGACTGAAAAAAAAAATAGCTAAAACTAGTAAAAATTTAACAATTATGTGATAATTTTTAAAAATTGCTTATTAACACCTTTTGTTTACTAATTTTTAGGTAATTATACCTCTATCGACCTCCTCCATATCGACTGTAGATTCTATCATCTGCTGGAACTTCTCCAGGTCTTGATGAAGTTCTGCTATGGGTTCAGCGAGTGCGGCGTGCACTGTGGCATCTTCT